TGAGTGAGTGAGTGAGTGTGTGAGTGCGTGTGTGTGTGTGAATGAGTGAGTGAGTGTGTGAGTGAGTGAGTGTGTGTGTGTGTGTGAGTGAGTGAGTGAGTGAGTGAGTGAGTGAGTGAGTGAGTGAGTGAGTGAGTGAGTGAGTGAGTGAGTGAGTGAGTGAGTGAGTGAGTGAGTGAGTGAGTGAGTGAGTGAGTGAGTGAGTGAGTGAGTGAGTGAGTGAGTGAGTGAGTGAGTGAGTGAGTGAGTGAGTGAGTGAGTGAGTGAGTGAGTGAGTGAGTGAGTGAGTGAGTGAGTGAGTGAGTGAGTGAGTGAGTGAGTGAGTGAGTGAGTGAGTGAGTGAGTGAGTGAGTGAGTGAGTGAGTGAGTGAGTGAGTGAGTGAGTGAGTGAGTGAGTGAGTGAGTGAGTGAGTGAGTGAGTGAGTGAGTGAGTGAGTGAGTGAGTGAGTGAGTGAGTGAGTGAGTGAGTGAGTGAGTGAGTGAGTGAGTGAGTGAGTGAGTGAGTGAGTGAGTGAGTGAGTGAGTGAGTGAGTGAGTGAGTGAGTGAGTGAGTGAGTGAGTGAGTGAGTGAGTGAGTGAGTGAGTGAGTGAGTGAGTGAGTGAGTGAGTGAGTGAGTGAGTGAGTGAGTGAGTGAGTGAGTGAGTGAGTGAGTGAGTGAGTGAGTGAGTGAGTGAGTGAGTGAGTGAGTGAGTGAGTGAGTGAGTGAGTGAGTGAGTGAGTGAGTGAGTGAGTGAGTGAGTGAGTGAGTGAGTGAGTGAGTGAGTGAGTGAGTGAGTGAGTGAGTGAGTGAGTGAGTGAGTGAGTGAGTGAGTGAGTGAGTGAGTGAGTGAGTGAGTGAGTGAGTGAGTGAGTGAGTGAGTGAGTGAGTGAGTGAGTGAGTGAGTGAGTGAGTGAGTGAGTGAGTGAGTGAGTGAGTGAGTGAGTGAGTGAGTGAGTGAGTGAGTGAGTGAGTGAGTGAGTGAGTGAGTGAGTGAGTGAGTGAGTGAGTGAGTGAGTGAGTGAGTGAGTGAGTGAGTGAGTGAGTGAGTGAGTGAGTGAGTGAGTGAGTGAGTGAGTGAGTGAGTGAGTGAGTGAGTGAGTGAGTGAGTGAGTGAGTGAGTGAGTGAGTGAGTGAGTGAGTGAGTGAGTGAGTGAGTGAGTGAGTGAGTGAGTGAGTGAGTGAGTGAGTGAGTGAGTGAGTGAGTGAGTGAGTGAGTGAGTGAGTGAGTGAGTGAGTGAGTGAGTGAGTGAGTGAGTGAGTGAGTGAGTGAGTGAGTGAGTGAGTGAGTGAGTGAGTGAGTGAGTGAGTGAGTGAGTGAGTGAGTGAGTGAGTGAGTGAGTGAGTGAGTGAGTGAGTGAGTGAGTGAGTGAGTGAGTGAGTGAGTGAGTGAGTGAGTGAGTGAGTGAGTGAGTGAGTGAGTGAGTGAGTGAGTGAGTGAGTGAGTGAGTGAGTGAGTGAGTGAGTGAGTGAGTGAGTGAGTGAGTGAGTGAGTGAGTGAGTGAGTGAGTGAGTGAGTGAGTGAGTGAGTGAGTGAGTGAGTGAGTGAGTGAGTGAGTGAGTGTGTGTGTGTGTGTGTGTGTGTGTGTGTGAGTGTGTGAGTGAGTATGTGTGTGTGTGAGAGTGAGTGAGTGAGTGAGTGTTCATACACAAAATCATTCAGAAGAACTGCCAGTCCAACGGGACAAATAGTCCTGCATCCCTGAGGGGAAATTCAGTTCAAAAACAGGAGCACGATTAGGCTACACATACAACACACATGCAATCAAACTGAGAGAAAATCACTCATGGCAATTATGTCACTTTGATGATATCAGAAAAAAATATCAGATGCTAGAGACCAGAGGACCGGCAGATGGAGTGCTGTGGTATCACCTGGTAAAACCACATACTTTGGAAGTAGATGATTACTCTTTCCATATACCATTGTATTTGCATGCTAGCCTAAAATAGGCTACTTGATAGTATTGACTATTAAATGTGTCCTTGGCCACCGAAGCAGCCAATGATTACCACATGCAAATACCATGGCATTTACATGGTAACGTTACTCCGAGGTATTTTAAAGATTGCACATGTCCAAACAGAACATTTGAGAAATAACGATAAGAAGTAAAGCTGGTTTGCTGTTCGCGTCATGAGGTTTAGGTTACAGTTACACTTAATAGTTGTAGTTTTATATTTCAACTGAATGACAAAGGTAACGCGTCATTTGTCCTTTATAGTGTCACTTTTGAATAACAGGACACACACAAACAGGTCTGGCAACTCTCTCGCCACCGTACGCCCCGCCCTCCATTGTTGTGTCAAACAAAGCCATATCATTCTCGCCGATGATTGGTTGAGCGTAACGACCGACAGCGCTCCCATTGGCTGAAGACCCCGTCAATCAAGTGTGCGGGAAAAATGCTTAAAATGTACAGCTCCGGCTTTCGAGTGGCACAGAAAGAGAGAGGGATCGGACGCAAGACGGAATGATGTGACAAAACGGACTCTTACGGATGATTTAGGGTGTATCTGAGCAGTAATGGTGGCACGGACGCGTTTCGTTTCGACCGGGGATTGTTGTTTTTTTTGTGAATGGGGATTTCGTCGCAGGCCTCGGACGTCTGATTCATTTTCATCATCTGATTGATTTAGCACTGTGTTTTAATTTGTGAATTGGCGAGATGAAGAGGGTTAATAGTTTCCAGAGGTGAGTGCAGAGGCTAACGGGTCCGATTACCATGCATCGTCTTGTCTCTCTGTTATTGCTGGTTATATCTTTATTGTTAATTCATAGACTTGTTTGTTCAGAAACCATGGCATGCATCATCTTGTAAACTATATCCAGCGATCAGATCATGCATCGTTATTGATTTTGTGCTATGTTGTGAACAGACCGTTCACTGACATACAGGCACATCCTGATGTGATGCATTTATGTCAATGCATGATCTTTATTAATGTATTCAGATCATGCATACATTGCAGAACATGTATTTTATTGATGCTATATTCTCTATTTAGAGATCTGACAGTGCAATTCAAGCCAATAAGGGTTTTATTGACTTTCTATTTGGAGATAAAACCTTGCATAATTTACAGATCATGTGTTTTGTTGGCTATATATTGTATAATCAAAGATCAGACCATGAACTTTGTTTTGGATGCTGGAATCAGACTATGCACTGAGATAAAAGTTCATCATGTGACCTGATTGTTAAATTTCAGTGCATGGTCTGATCTCTTTATGCAATATATTTTAGATGCATGCTTTATTCATGGATCAAAACATAAATTAAGTTAAAAGCATGTCCTGTGGTCTGATCATGCCAGCAAAATGCTCCGTTTAGAGATCAGACTTTGCTTTGAAGTCAGATTGTCTATGCAGTCTGATTGTGGTTTTCTGGTCCGATATCTGCTCCCCAAACATCAGCGGTGTCAGAATTGGTCTGCATGGGTGTTGGGACGCAGGGAGTGGGGATTGCAGCATGCACACAGATGCATGTGTGTTTTTAATGAGCATGCACCACTGCATCACACACACCACCATGCTTGACATCATTGCTGCATCTTTGAGGAACTCCAATAAAACAAAAGAGGAAACACACCTGAGAAAAGCAGAACATCTGTATGAGTCACACTGCAGATCATGAGCTCACGTCCTCGGGCTGGTGTCCGTTTACTGATGGGGATCATTGATAGAGAAAGATCTGGGAGAAAATGCCAAAGCGGCTCAGAATGATTAAAAGGGGGGTTGTCTATGCTCACAAAAGCATGACTTTGTATTTTACATTTATATTTTAGACCGATACAGAAGTATAAATGACAGCTATTTTCTCTTAACAAGTGTTTAACTGAGTTTAATTAGATTTTTATTATGTAGAAGTGTTGTAGTGTGTATTATGGAAACATTTGAATGCATTTATGTTTGTCATGATAAACATTTTGATCTAAAGGCAAAAAACGCAAAAGCGTGAAATTTTATTAATTTTTTGACATAGTTTAACATTCTTGGTCACTACATTATTTATATTGTTTCATAATGGTGTTTAATATCAGTAATGTAATATTATAGCATATATTCATTTTTATTTTTGTATTTGTATTTTCTGTTTTGAATTTAATCGTACCTACAGTTTTAGTAATTTTGTTGTGTGCTTTTGTCTGTTTTATTATTGTTATTATTATTAAAATCTTTTATTATTATTATTTTATATATAATTTTTAGAAAAAGTCTTTAATTTTATTAATTTTTTTTATTTCAGCATTATTTTAGTTATTTTCAGCTTTAGTTTTAGTAATTTTAGTACTTTGGCAACTAACCGGAATATTTACTGACAGTATAACTAATAACTAGCCTAACATTTTTATATTTTATTTTATTTATTTTTATTTTTTCAATGAACATGAATTAAAAAAAATAAAAAATTGTAGTTAACGATAATAACATTGGTCCAAACATGTATCAAATGGAGTCAGTCTGGTTTGTTATGTGTTTCAGGTTTATGAACACCCGCGCGGCTGCAAACTGCCGTTACCAGCCCACGTGTTATGAGCACGCGGCCAACTGCTACACCCATGCGGTAACGAACATTCACTCTTTAAAGGGGTCATATGATGCAATTTAAATTTTTCCTTTCTCTTTGGAGTGTTACAAGCTCTTGGTGCATAAAGAAGATCTGTAAAGTTGCAAAGACTAAAGTCTCAAATCCAAAGAGATATTCTTTATAAAAGTTTAGAGTTAACCACGCCTACCTAAAACGGCTCGTTCTAACACGCCTCCACATGTCTACGTCACTACGTGGGAAGATTTGCATAACGCCGCCCAAATGTTCACGCAAAGAAAGAAGGTGTAACTTTTATTCTCGCTGTAGTATTGTTGTTGCCGCTGCCATGTCCTGAAGGCGCTGTGTGTTTCGTTGTGAAAGCAAAACTACTTTGTTTGGCCTTCCAAAAGAGGACGATATCCGCTTCGTCATGCCTGGAGCTGATCCGTGCTGGTCGCTGAGGAAATACATCAACTTTGCGCTGTGAATCGCCGGATCGGCGTTCACCGTGGATGAACTGGAGTCCAGCCCGGGGTCGTCACATGTGGTTGCCGCAAGCCCTCCGGACGCTCCTTTCGTTCAATCCGCTGGCCGCGCCGTTCTCAAGCCGGCCTCCGCGTACTTTAGTCCACCGCCGCTCACTCAAGGCCGTGGTGTGTGACGCTGTTTCGTTGTGAAAGCAAAACTACTTTGTTTGGCCTTCCAAAAGAGGACGATATCCGCTTCGTCATGCCTGGAGCTGATCCGTGCTGGTCGCTGAGGAAATACATCAACTTTGCGCTGTGAATCGCCGGATCGGCGTTCACCGTGGATGAACTGGAGTCCAGCCCGGGGTCGTCACATGTGGTTGCCGCAAGCCCTCCGGACGCTCCTTTCGTTCAATCCGCTGGCCGCGCCGTTCTCAAGCCGGCCTCCGCGTACTTTAGTCCACCGCCGCTCACTCAAGGCCGTGGTGTGTGACGCTGTTTCGTTGTGAAAGCAAAGCTACTTTGTTTGGTCTTCCAAAAGAGGACACGACTAGAAATCAGTGGTTAAGTTGTATTTACGACACTGTTCCAGAACACTTCAACCCAAATATTCAGATGTGTCCAGCGCATTTTATGGAGGACTGTTTCCTGATCCTGGTAGAGTAGACTACAATGCCGGCTGTTCTGACTCACAGACTGTAAGTGTGTTTTTTTATATTTAAAGAATTTGCTACTGACGATTCAAACACGAGTTGTGAGCAGTGTAGAGTAGCGTTTGTTGTTTGTCATTTCTCCGATCACAAATGCAGACTTGGTTTTATGTTTACGTGGCGCGATGCGATGCAACACGTAAAAAGACAGTATAAGTCATTATAATCTGTAATTATGTCTCCACTGGATGCAACAAATGCCTCGTTTATAATGGGTTTTAATGTTTTTGTCTCGTCGCACCGGCCGGGACACGGCATCACAGTATGGTGAGGGGCGTAACATTTCCATCACACGCTTGAGGTATTCGGCCAATCACAATGCACTGTGGCCAAGCTGGCCAATCACAGCACACCTCGCTTTTCAGACCGATGAGCTTTGTAAAAGTGATGTGAGGTGACATGTGGCCAAGTATGGTTACCCATACTAGGAATTAATGCTCTGCATTTATCCCATCCTAAGTGCACACACACAGCAGTGAACACACACACCCGGAGCAGTGGGCAGCCATTTTTGCTACGGCGCCGGGGAGCAGTTGGGGGTTCGGTGCCTTGCTCAAGGGCACCTCAGTCGTGGTATTGAAGGTGGGAGAGAGCGCTGCACATTCACTCTCCCCACCTACAATCCCTGCCGGTACGAGACTCGAACCCGCAACCTTTGGGTTACTAGTCCGACTCTCTAACCATTAGGCCACGACTCCCCCCCAAAAAAAGTCGATGCATTTCAGAAAGGCATAGAGGAGAAATAATAATGTACATTATGTGAAAAATTTGTTTTTTGAACCTTAAACCGCATAAACACATTTCATTACACCAAATAATGTTCTTTTTAGCAGCATCATATGACCCCTTTAATGAACAGAATCAAAGAGATCCACCTGAATGCTCATTTGGAGTCATGAAAATGTTGCATATTAAATTCTCTTTAATCCTCTCTGTCCGTGTCTGTAGCTTCTGATTGTGCCGGCGTTCGTGGGAATGGCTCTGTTACACCGGCTGTCAGATGACCGCTGGGAGCGGATCACGGCCTGGGTCTACGGCATGGGTCTGATTGCTCTTTTCCTCGTCTCCACGGTCTTTCACATCATTTCCTGGAAAAAGAGCCACATGAGGTGTGTTTGCCATCGTACAGCATCACACAGAACCGTGGGAGTGACATTTAAATGCAAGACTGAATCATTAAATTATTGTTCAATGAGTGTCACTGCATTGCAGGAATAGGTCATACAAAAATGAGCTTAAAATGTACTCACCCTCAGGGCTTATTTTTTTCTCTTTAATCCTCTCTGTCCGTGTCTGTAGCTTCTGATTGTGCCGGCGTTCGTGGGAATGGCTCTGTTACACCGGCTGTCAGATGACCGCTGGGAGCGGATCACGGCCTGGGTCTACGGCATGGGTCTGATTGCTCTGTTCCTCGTCTCCACGGTCTTTCACATCATTTCCTGGAAAAAGAGCCACATGAGGTGTGTTTGCCATCGTACAGCATCACACAGAACCGTGGGAGTGACATTTAAATGCAAGACTGAATCATTAAATTATTGTTCAATGAGTGTCACTGCATTGCAGGAATAGGTCATACAAAAATGAGCTTAAAATGTACTCACCCTCAGGCAATCCGAGATGTAGATGAGTTTGTTGAGAACAGATTTGGAGAAATGTAGCATTGCATCACTTGCTCAGCAATGGATGCTCTGCAGTGAATGGGTGCCGTCAGAATGAGAGTCCAAACAGCTGATAAAAACATCACAATAATCCACACCACTCCAGCCCATCAGTTAATGTCTTGTGAAGTGAAAACCTATGTGTTTGTAAGAAACAAATCCGTCATTGAGATGTTTTTGACATTAAACGGCTAAAGTCCATAATTCATAAACTTTCTCCAGTGGAAAAAAACATTGTCTCGTCTGAATCAGGAGAGAAATATATGCGCAGAACAAGCAAAAACAGTTCTAAACAGATAAGTGGGTGGAGTTTGATGTGAGCGGAAAACAGGAGATGGACTTTTTCACTGGAGGAGGCTTTATTATGATTATGAACTCGTATTTTGGCCAGAAGCAATGCTTTAAAGTTAACAGCAATAATAACAAAAGACATTAACGGATGGACTGGAGTGGTGTGGATTATTGTGATGTTTTTATCAGCTGTTTGGACTCTCATTCTGACGGCACCCATTCACTGCAGAGCATCCATTGGTGAACAAGTGATGTAATGCTACATTTCTACAAATTTGTTCTGATGAAGAAACAAACTCAACTACATCTTGGATGGCCTGATGTAAATGTTCAGTAAATTTTCTTTTTTGGGGGTTTACTATTCCTTTAACTAGTCGTGCATTTCAGTTCTCATGACATTGAAAACCAGTTCGTTTTTCTTTTATTAAGGTTTGTATTCTTTTATACATTATGCATATTCATGAACCACTACAAAGAGAGCTTCCTTCATGTTTGACTCTAGAAATGGTTTATTGATCAACTGCAATATTTATAAAAATATGACATTTCTGTGCATATGGTGGACGAACTCTAGTGTGACCACACTTTACATGAATACTGTCTCTGTGTTTTCAGGACCATGGAGCACTGCTTCCACATGTGTGACAGAGTCGTCATATACTTTTTTATCGCTGCCTCTTACACACCATGGTACGTCTCTGTATACATTTGTCATATTCAAATCACTTCAGAGAATTCAAAAATGAAATGCATATTTATATTTAAATTTCCTTGTCTTTTTGGACACCATAATACCATGTTTGGGATCAGTCAATTTTTATTTATTTTTTTAAGAAAGTGTCTTCTGTTCATCAAGGCTGCATTTATTTGATCAAAAATACAGTAAAAACTGTAAAATTGTGAAATATTATTGCAATTTAAAATAATTTATTTCTATGTGAATATAGTGTAAAATGTAATTTATTCCTGTGAAGCAAAGCTGAATTTTCAGCAACATTACTCCAGTCTTCCTCTTTCATAACATTATAAATGTCTTTACTGTCACTTTTGATCAATTTAATGCGTCCTTGCTGAATAAAAGTATCAAATTCTTTCAAGAAATATTTGATACCGTGATTAAGGTGTACGGTAAGCATTCAGTACTATGGTATTATCCCATAGCTCGGCACTTTTTCTAATGTTAAATATTCCATATAGTCTTCACTTCTGTGTAATATATATATATATATATAAGCTTCAGGATCCACAAGCAATGCATTTCCTCATTTAATTTTTAACAGTATCTCCTATCTAACAATCTCGCACCTTTCTAAAGGTAGATAAATAATGGAGAATACAATTTTTTTGAATAACATAGATAAATGTAAATCCACTCTGAACAGATGGTTGCAGAGGGATCTTACAATCTTTGGAAGGGTTCTTTTGTCTAAAATGGATAGTTTATCCAGACTTATCTACCCAGCCTTCTCCTTGCCCATATCGACAAGAATGATCAAATTAATAAATAAGGTGACATTTAAATTTATCTGGAGAAATAAATGTCTCCAGATAAATGAGAAATAAAAAGAAAGGAAGTTATGATTAAAAAATATGAAGACGGTGGTGTGAATGCGATCGATTTTGATGTTATGAATGGTGTTCTGAAATTGAAATGGTTAAAATCCTTCATTCTAAATAGCAGTTCTTTTTGGTTTATTGTCCCCAGTGCAATTTTTAACAAACTTTTTCTACATTGTGATTTTGAGTGTACCTTGTTACCAGTTAAACTTGAACTTTTCCAAGTGCTGCTCTATTGGAAATGATTGTTCAAACATAACTTCACACCTCACAACACTCCAGTTTGGAATAATAGCTAAATAAAGATAGGCAGAAAGTCAGTATATTTTGAGGAATGGAAATGTAAAGGGATTTGGGCGATTGCCCATTTCTTGGATGATAATGGAAATGTGTTACTGTATAGAGAATTCTGTGAAAAATTCCAACTGCAGTGTTCTGTTAATACTTATAATAGAATAATACGAGCCAGTCCAATTGTTGTAAGATTAATAGTTAAAGAAGACATTTTGTACTCCAAAGTCTCCCCAGAACTGAGACGGCTCTCCTTAGAAGGTTATGATTTTTGTGATTAAAAAATGTACAAATGGAGTCATTAGAGATTTTATTTTACAGGCTTATTATCCTAACCCTATTAGAAGGGAATACATGCTCAAAGATTTTGATATTATGGAAATTAAACAAATTAGGAAAAGCTATATATCTTTTCCTCTTCCTCCTAAAGTTAAGAAGGTGAACTTCAAAATTCATTGGTAGGATAAATCTCATTTAAAATTAAGACTGAAATATAATTTGGATGTGAATAATTGTGTTTTTTTTTTTTTTTTGTGAAACGAATATTGAAAATCTAGAGCATGTTTTCTTTTGTTGTGATTTGGTGCAACTTTTTTGGAGAGATGTACAGAACTGGCTACAGTCTAGAGAGGTTGAACTCCCACCCCTTACGATGAAGTTAATTAGGTTTGGTATTTGTCTGGAAAACAGAGTTGGATTTTGTTATTAATTTCTTGCTTTGTTTTGGAAAGTCTTTCCAACATTTCCATAAAAGGAAAGCAAAATACACAAATAATATTTAGACTGTTTCTGATCAAATAAAGCAGTAATTGATGCCATAAAATCATGAGTATGTTTTGATTTAAAAGGTCAGAAGCTTACATGAACAAAACATGACACTTAATTTTATATATACTGATTTATTCATTAATATGTTATATATTTTTAAACAAATTATGAGCTCTAAAAGATTTTTTGCTTTAGACCATTTACAAATGTTAAATCATAAAATAAAATGTCATGGTTACCACTGCATCTTCCTGAAAATATATATATATATAGTTTATTTATAGTTATTTTCAAATCTTCAATGTACTGTAATTATAAAATAACTTTATTATTGTTTATTTAATTCTAACAAATAAGTTCTTGTTAAAAACGAACCAAAATTAAAAATAATTATATATCGTTATCGGCCAAAATTAGTTGAAATTAATGGCATATCGGATATCGGTAAAAATCCAATATCGTGCATCCCTATTTATTTCAATTGAAGTGTTTTATTATATTGCTGATTGATAAAACGGGCCACTTGAGATTTGCTATATAGCTCACCATGCCTCTGAATGATTTAACATTGACATTTACCACAGTATTTACATGCATTCATAGAATGCCATGGTTTGTGTCCGACACTTCATGAAGATCAGACTTTTTACATGCTGTGCAATGATAATGAATCAGACATGGCTGGTTTCGTCATGCTGATGGTTGTTGGATCGATCAGGGTGTGTGTGTGTGTGTGTGTGTGTGTGTGTTACGGTTACACACATTCCTGCGTGATGAGCACTAATGAGGGTGTGTTTTTCCCACAGGCTCAACCTCCGGGAGCTCGGGCCGCTCGCCGCTCACATGCGCTGGTTTGTGTGGCTGATGGCGGCCGCCGGGACCATCTATGTGTTTAACTACCATGAAAAGTACGTTTGACTTTAACTTAATGTCTTATACTGTATCTGATATCCCTTGACAACATACCTTAATTATGCAAAATTGATAATTAAATGGTTCGTTCACCCAAAAATTAAAATGAGGCTGTGTTTTACTCGCCCCCGAAGCATCCGAGGTGTATATGACTTTCTTCTTTCAGACGAAGCCAGTCGGAGTTATATTAAAAATTGTCTTTGATCTTTCAAGCTGTTTAATGCCACTCAGTGGGTGTTGCATTGCTTCAGTCCAAAAGAAGTTAAATAAAAAGCGCCCATCCATAAAAAAAGTCTCACATGGCTCCGGGGGGGTGAACAAAGGCCTTCTGTAGCGAATCGATGCGTTTTTGAAAGAAAAATATCCATATTCAAAACATAAAAATCACTTTAATGTAGCTTGCGCCAACATTTGTACACAGAAGCAGTTCCGGGAGCATGATGTATAAGGTCAGCGCTGCGCATGCGCCGGTGAGTCTTGTGAAAACCAACGTTTGTTTACAGGATCAAAGGAAGTTTCCTTACTTTAGCAAAGGAAAACCAGTCTCCTCTTGGCTTATATCGGAATCCTCCGACATTCTTCTTTACAAATCCTGGTTTTGTACTTCTAATTCTTGACCATTGTTTTGTTTTGATCTCTCCCCTGCGCTTCTGCGTTCGTCACTTCTGAGCGGCGCATGTGCAACGCCGACGTCATACTTCATCCACCCGGAACTGCTTCCGTGTACAACAGTGAGCGCAAGCTAGATTAAAGTGATTATTACATTCTGAATATGGATATTTTTCTTAGAAAAACGCATCGATTCGCTACAGAAGGCCTTTGTTCACTAGGGTTGTGACGGTGAGGACATTTTCCCACCGGTTAATCGACGTGTGACAACACCGGTAATACCGGTATCACCGGGCATTCGGTAATACCGGGCGTTCCCTCTTTTCATCGCTTTCCTTCGCTTTTAAATAGCTTGTAAAAGCGGCATGCGCACTTTACTTTCACTTTGAAATAGCAGCAATTCGGAGTAAAGCAATTGTTCATTTTTAGTTTGTTTGAATTTTCCCTCTTTTCCTCGCTTTCCTTCGCTTTTAAATAGCTTGTAAAACCGGCATGCGCACTTTCCTTTCACTTTGAAATAGCAGCAATTCGGAGTAAAGCAATTGTTCATTTTTAGTTTGTTTGAATTTTCCCTCTTTTCCTCGCTTTCCTTTGCTTTTAAATAGCTTAAAAGTGCCGCGCGCATTTTACTTTCACTTTTGAATCAGCGGCAGTTGGGCGTCAATTGTTTGAATGCAACAACAAAATACAACGTCAAACTCACTTTAGCCTATATATAAAACATAGAACTTTTATTAACTAAACAAATACAAATACACCATGCTATAGGGCAGGCTATGCCTAATATAAAATAACAAATAACTTGCATAAAGTTTAAATAGGTATACAAAACTAGAAATAGGCTAAGTAAACATGTATAATATATAACCAGATAAATAAGAAACATAGAACGTTTATTAGCTAAACGAGTAAGAAAGCTTGGAGGCACAGCATATGGCTACACCTTGATGTGAAATAAAATAAATAAATTACGCAAAGTTTAAATAAAGTAAGAATCAGCAAACAGTGTGGAACCAATTAAATAAGAAACGAATGTTTAAAAAAAACTTCCAAAATCACCTTTGATAAACGGCAAAAGTCAACAGGCTTTTCAAAATCCAAAATACTGCCAAACAGGCGCTTTTGCATCTCGTTTCGAAACTAAGTCATCCGCGATCGTCTTATCAGTCAGCTGGACTCACTCTCCTCACTGGAGAAATGAAATCTAATCTGTGATGCGACTGTCATTCGGGTACGCTGCAGTGAGCAGCCGCGTTCAGTTTTTAATTGTAGTGTCTGTTCTTTTACTGAACTAATTTATATTTATTTATATAAAAAATCAAAACGACGGTGGGGGTCGGTGCCGCGGTGGGCAAGTGACGTAAGCCACAACACCGGTATCACCGTCAACACTGTCTATTGTTCACCCCCTGGAGCGGTGTGAGACGCCTTTTTTTTTCTTTTTTTTTTATGGCTGGGCGATTTTTATTTAAGTTCTTTTGGACTGAAGCAACGCAACACCTGCTGAGTGGCATTAAACAGCTTGAAAGATCAAAGACCATTTTTAATATAACACAGGCTGGATTTGTCTGAAAGAAGAAAGTCATATACACCTGCATCAGGGGTGAGTAAACTCATTTCATTTTTGGGTGAACTAACCCTTTAACACATGCAATGTGTTTATTTTGTTGAATGTACAACTAGGCTGCTTTTGATTACTGGTGAAGTAACCGCAATTATGTTGAATTTGAAAGTCTCAGTCACGTACAGTACAGCCACCCAAGAGCGGACACGTGCATTTAAATACATCAAATATTTTTATTATTTATGTTATTATTAATAAAATTATAAATTATTAATTGGTTATTCTTTATAAAATTATTATTAATATACAAAATATAAAAAAAAATAATGCTTAAAAGTGTTATGTGCAACATCTTAATTATGGGCAAGACTGATAATCAACATGCACAAAGTGTTTATTTTTTTTGTTGAATGTACAACTAGGCCGCTTGTGATTTATTTAAGGTAAGCACAATTATTTTGCATTGCAAAGTCCAAAAAGTGTTTTGTGTGTTTGTGCAGGTATAAGTTAGTGGAGCTGGCATTTTATTTGACCATGGGCTTCTTTCCTGCGCTGGTGGTGACATCAATGGTGAGTCTGTGAGCTCATCAACTTAATCTGATCCATGTTCTTCTAAAGGCCAAGTACTAATTTGCAGACCCCCAATTAACCTGACGATTTCAAGCTCATGTAGGAGGAGTCACTGCAGGGGATGTAAATATCAAAATTATAATGCGTTGAACATCAACAAACGGCTGAAAATGACCTAATTACTAACCTTCAGAAGTGATGCTGTATAATGGATGTGAAGAAAACGAAATGTTTAGTCACCGTGATGTTTTATTGTGAAGCGAGAATGTTCTCTTGAACATTTTTCCCCCCTGAATGAAATCTGATCACCTTCACCTTTGACACAGTTTTTGAGTCCTCGGGCTGTTCGTGTTAACCGGTCACACCTGAAATGTTCATTATCTCTGTGAGTGAGACGATCTGTTAGCTGTTGCTACGTAACCAACTCACGCTTGATCTGGGATTTTCACAGTTCAGAATCAGACACAACAGAGTTTGGAGACTTTGAGTCACATCAGGTGTTTCCTGTAACTGATACTCCTGATTAGAATTGATTAAAACCTTTGTTGCTACGTGGCCAATTACATGTGAATCTCAACACACACACACACACACACACACACACACACACTCCGGTTTGTTTTTGTGAAAAGTGGGGACATGGGGTAATGTCCTGAAAAGTCACTTTCTCCTTGTAATACCTACAGTATGTCATACCTTTGTCATTATACAAATTGATGTCCTCATTTGTCACACACACACACACACAAACATATATTTTTAAAAGGAACATTAATATTTCATGAATTGAGATTATATATAAAATTACATAAATTACCAAGTTTTATATGGTTTTTTTTTTAAGAGTGTTTGAGTTTTTTTCTCAAATGTGTAATTTTTATAGTGTAATTTAATGTTTTTTTCTTTCGTGTAATCCTAGTCCTTTTTACTAATTACTGTAGAAATTTACTGTGATATTATTTTTAATTGTTCTAAATTTTCAATGTAGAAAAAAAAATACAAATATTTTTAGGATTAGATTTCATAGGTTGTTATAATTTAAAAATGGTCAAATATATTTTTGTAGCGTAATAACTACATTAATTGAAAACAATGCAACAAAAAATCTTTATTGTCCTGAAATGCACTTGATTTTCATAACTTTTTTTTTTTTTTTTTGACTTTGGGGTGAAATATAATCCAGACATGGTTTGACAGGTTTTATGAGATTCACTCTTACAAATAAAGTATACATGGTAAATACAGCACCTGTGTACAGTATGCATTATACCAGTGTTTCCCAACCTTTTGTTTAGTCGCGGCACCCTTTGGAAATTAACAAATTTGTGGCACCCTACAAAATTAATTTTGTCACAATATTTGAATTTCTAACTTCGATATGATAATTTGTAAAGTGTAGATTTTCAGTACAACAGGGAAGAACTGCAGAATATCATGTCATACAGATATTTCTAATATTATAAAAAGAAATGTGTCTATCAATAGTGGCAATCAGTAAGCTAATTTCTAATGAAGAGACCAATTTATATGACCGATTTGAATTTAGGCTTTTATTCATATGTAAACATTGTGAGATAGCTAGTTATAATGGTAATTAAACAAAGATTTGCTCTCTCAGTGTATTTTTGATTTTACAGCTGGGTAATTTTGTTGCAGTAGCACGAGATAGCTTGATTTAAAACTTTGAATTGAATTTTAAAAAAAATGACAAGGAGGCTATGCAGTTAATAATAAAATAAGAACAAATAAAGAAATTACTAATGATAGCACAAATAAAAAATAACGATAGGCCTACAAATGAAATAAATTGCTTTTTAGTTTTTCGGGTAGGTCTAACACACAGTAGGGCTATTGAGAGTTTTTTTTTTTGTTTTTTACCAATTATCCAAATAATACTTGGGTTCAGTGTAGTAAGCAAACAGGAGTGCAATAGTGTTTGAATTTCAAACACAACCTTTGCTTTGGGTTCATATGCTGTTAGAGACAAAGACAGCAGCAGAACTGTGTTCATTACATACAAAAAAAACAGCACGTGTCACAGACACTGAGGCCACCTTGGGGTTGGGCGCAGTAGTTACACTTGCTTGAAAAAAATGTAGGGGCACCAAATAAAACTCCCTGCATTCAAAGCTCAACTTTTCCATTGGCTTTTGGATTATTGCAGAAAATAAACTCTGTGACTAACAAAAGGTTACGATTCTTACACGATTCTTTTTTTCCCCCCGTTATGGTGATCTTCACAACTTTTTTATATTATATATATATATATTTTTATTTTGAAGCCTAAGTGCAATCAGCAGAAGTAAAAAGTTAAACGTAGGCCGCGGACTGCACCGTTGTCACATGACTTGAACGTCACCATCGTTAAGCGTCCAACAGCTTTTAATCTTTATTTTAAAACATTTTCCTTAAAGGTTTGAGTTAGGGTGGTTTGCTAGAGCGTGATTTAAAAACACAACAAGGCTGTAAAAGTGGACTAGTGAGTAGAGGAATTTATCTGTTCAGGCTGTTGATGTTTAATGTTCTCAACAAACTCTGTAGTCCCGTTTAGCCTCTTGTTAGTGACCACCTTTTTCAAGACAAGTAAAAGCGTTGAAATCACAGGATTGAAAAAGAGTGAAGAATGAAATCACAAGGGCATATTACTGATGTATTTCTGTTTTAAAATAAAGCCTGACAATATCTTGAACTTAACCCGTGTTAACCACTGACCGTATTTCAGGCATTAAATCAAAAACCCTTTCAAAAAAATCAATTGAAGTGCTAAAATGTGAACTTGTTTCAGGGTTTTCTACAAACATACTTAATTATCTGTACTCTCTAAAACACTCTACATGCAACACCATCAAGATATTGTTAATTTACCTTTTACACATCTGCAGTATAAATATAGTTGGCTACACTCTTAAAAATAAAGGTTCTTTATAGGCATCTATGGTTCCATATAGAACCTTTAAACTCTATAGAATCTTCCCATTGATCAAAAGATTCTTTGTTGAATGAAAAATGTTCTTGGAAACTGTTTTTAAGAGTGTGGGACTTTACAAAAACAAGGGCAAAAAAGGGGTAAAAGTTTTACAAAAACAAGGGCATATTACTGATCTGTTTTTGTTGTAGAATAAAACATGAAAATATCCTGACCTTATCCTGACCTTATCCTGACCATATCCTGACCTTATCCTGACCTTAACCTGACCTTAACCTGACCTTAACTTGAACTTACTCTTGAACTTACCCTTGAACTTATCTATGGTTCCATAAATAACCTTTAACAATCTTTCCGTTGCACAAAAGCTTCTTTATAGTGGAAACATGTTTTAAAGTTTTTCACCCTAAGAAAAAATGGTTCTATTAAGAACTGATCACTGTAAGGTTCTTTGGGGAGTCAAAAATGGTTCTTCTATGGCAGCAATATTCCCTTTTGGAACCTTTATGGATTTTTGCCCGGTTGTCAGTATGTCAACTGTGTAAAAACACAACATTATTCAATGATTTTCATGTCAGTAACTGTGTGTCGTTGTTGTTTTGATCAGAGTAACACAGACGGGCTGTACGAGCTGGCGTTCGGAGGCTTGGTCTACTGCCTGGGCGTCGTCTTCTTCAAATCGGACGGCGTGATTCCATTCGCTCATGCCATCTGGCACATATTCGTGGCTCTTGCTGCCGCCATCCACTACTACGCCATCTATGAGTACCTGTACAGCAGTCCCTCGCTGGAGGACATCAGGGATGTTTGAGCGCCACGCCTGCCTCCTCTTCCTCTTTCCTCCTCCATCACCATAACATCTCAAGCGGATGCTCCAAACACCCACAGTTTAACAGTACGACCATGCAATGTTTACGGTTTTCTAACCAACTGGAATCAGTGATGTGTGTGTGTGTGTCGCAGTCCTGAATGCACATTTGCCACAGTTGCACCAAGACGGCAATGTTTGTGTGTTTTCCCCATTTTCATTAGTATTATGTAAATATATTCCACTGGAAGCAGATGAATTGTGATTATTTTTGATATTTAATGATTTTTTTTCCACACACACACACACGGTAGCAGTTTCATATCATCTGTAGTGAATTACTTTTCTTTACTCGTGCGACTTTCTGTATCAAATCTATATTTTTGCATCTCAACTCACTGGGTTTTTACTTCGTACGTGCGGCTAGTTGTTTTCTACGAAGCGCTGGTGGTTTTCTACACTGCTGGCATCTCCTTCCCCCGTGTTTCTGCTCTTTCAGCATTTTTCTATGCGGCACTTTTCTAACAGGACGAACCACTTCTCTTTGATACTCCATTTGGATAGAAACGATGTTGACCGCTTGTCTGCACAACCAGGATTATGATGCTTTAGGATGTTTTTTCTCATCACCTGAACCACCTTAAAGACACACTTTGTGTCTCAATTTCAGCACAATATTCGATGGATTTTTTGATTAAGAAGCGTTAAACAATGACACTAGAATTATGAAGAATCTGACAAAAACAGGTCATATTTCATCCCAAAATCTTTGGAGATTTGCAGTATTGCAGTAAATTTGAAATTGCATTGTACTAGGAAAAAACTAAAGCATACTATATTTTATAATATATAATTTACATATAAATGTAAATTTTATATATATATATATATATATATATATATATGAGTGAACATGGAGGATAACGTGTTTAATTGTCATAAATGTCACAATGCAAAAAGTGCTTCTTTTTTTTTTTTTAAGCAAACTTACAAAAAATATATATATATATATATATATATTTTTCCCCATTTTGATTTGAAGTGAAATATGACTCTAAAATGTTCTTTACAGTGTCATGAGATTCACTTGAATATCAAGCGATATATAGCGAAACATTTCTGAACTAATGTTGTTTTTCTGCCATGATATCTCAACATCTGCTGAACAAAACGCTCATCGTCCCGTCATGCACATCACTGCCTGTATGCACCAGGATCATCTTTTATCATTCCAAGGACCTTCACTGGTTTCTGCTGCGCTTCTGCGGGAGACACTGTGACACTGTGACTGCGTTGGGCTTTGATCGCAGTTTGACTTTGCAGTTCTGGTGAAGCACAGATCTGATGGGATTCAGGAATCTCACGTATTGAAGTGTTTTCGCTCCAAGGCTGAAACTTTTGTTTTGTAATAATTTCACTGGCCAATAAACGTGCTTTTTTCTCTCTTCTCACATCGTGTTGGAATATCCATAGTTACTTTCTCATCCTGTAATTACAGACTTGAAAAAGAAAGTTAGGATATTAAGCAAGTTTTCTACACATTTTTTCTTCATACGCTGTTAGATTATTTTTTTGCAGGTGAATTATGAAACGTCCTGGTTTTTGTGATTCCGTCACGCCAGGAACACAGTGTTTCGTTATGATTTTGGGATGTTTGATGAGATGTGTTTGGACTGCATGAACAGAGTTGTTTCGATCAGCTCTTGTACTCTGGGACAGACTTTTGTAAAATCTCATTTTGGCACATAATTCTGCACTGGCCTTCTGGAAATCCAACTGCGAAACCTCTTCTAACGCTTCTGATGTTCTCATCACACATCATTCTGGTACTGATGTTAATATAAAGACTAAATGTGTCTAAAGTTTCTAAAGTGTTAATAAAGGCAAGCAGTGACTCTCATGCTTGTGCGTTTGTTCATTTCATCTTGTGGCTCAGTCCATGTTTCACACACGGCACAATGAAGAATTTAAGACAGTTAGTGCTATTCTGTTATTCTTCCAAACACTGAAAAAAAAAATTGGTGTAGGGTTTACGTTTATATAATTTCCACTCAACACTTTACAAGCCGATCTCATTTGTTAACATTAGATAAAATTAACTAAGAATGAATAGTTCTATAGCATTTATTAATCTTAATGTTTATTACCAATATGTTAATAACATGCTATAGTTAATATGAATTAATGCACTTGAAACTTAAATTGACAAAGAACATTTTTTTTTGTTTTATTAACTAGCAAGATTAATAATTGCTTTAAAAATATGTATTGTTACTTCATGCTAATGCATATTAATGTTATGAAATGAGTTTGTGAAGTTACTGAAACGGCTTATTTTGAACAGAAATTAGCTTAGAAATGTACCATTTAGAAACAAGATACATTAGCAAAGTAATCTAAATACAAAAAGTACTAATATATTATAAAGTAGAAATATATTTAGAATTTTTTCGTTTTATATTTTTATACAAATATTTTTAAAAGCACATTACATTTTATTGCTATATTGTATTTTGTTTTATTATTACAGTATTCATAATATGTGTAATAATTTATATACTGAAATAATGTTTGTGAATGATTCCTCAGTGCATGTTATTCCTATAAGAAAAAAAGGTTTTGTGTTTTAATCAAAACGTGATAACATGCTCCACCTAACTTTAATCGCAAATCCTTCAAATGGTTATATACAGTGGGTACGGAAAGTATTCAGACCCCCTTAAATTTTTCACTCTTTGTTATATTGCAGCCATTTGCTAAAATCATTTAAGTTAATTTTTTTTCCTCATTAATGTACACACAGCACCCCATATTGACAGAAAAACACAGAATTGTTGACAAGTTTTAATGCCAATAATTTAGACAAACCAATAGTTAAGACAAAAGACAAAAGCAGAGATGTTGAGAGAAAACTGAAGACTTTATTGGACACAATGTACAGAGAGAAAAGGAGTCAAAAGGTGGCAGCAGAGAGCAAAGGTTCAGGTTTCTGCTTCCATTTACGTGACACACAAGATCAAACATCTCCAGCTTTGAGTCTCTCTCATAGACTGTCCGTCACTGCAGGTGTTGCCTTCAATACGGTGGTTCCCGTCTTTTCAAGACGAGCCGTCTGAATTCTGGCTTTGAGAATGTGTCGAGTAAAGCGTGGGATTTTGGGGTCAGTCTGATTGGAGGAGCCCTTTCCGTGCAGGGCCAATCCGGTGCAAGTAATTTAAGCTTTAAAGGAGTTCACTTTCAGAATGAAAATTCTGTGATCATTTGCTCACCCTCCACTTGTTCCAATCCTGTATGAGTTTCTTTCTTCTGTTGAACACAAAAGAAGATATTTTGGAAAAATGTTGGAACAGTTAATGAGCACCATTGACTTCCATAGTGCAAACCAACTGTTTGGATACCAACATTCTTCAAAATATCTTTGTGTCAACAAATTATGACAGAATTTTCATTCTGGAAGTGAACTACTCCTTTAAAATGTGTGTGGAATCGTCTGTGGTAATTCAAGGCACTGGACTAAACAGGTTCAATATGGTTATAGGTTCCTTTCAGGACTGAGGTAGAAAGAGAGACGCCAACCTGTTTCCCACAATCTCACGGCTGTGTCCTTCCCTGGAAAACAGGGAGTACTGCAAATATGAACTTGTGCGATTATGGATATGGCCATTAGAATTACATCTAATGAATATAAGATGATCTGTCTATTGCCAAACAGTTTAAGTTGTTTCTGGTCTAATGCTGCCTTTCACGTGCTATCGAAAATGTCCTGCTTTCCATTTCTGAAGTTCGTTAATAACGCACCACGTTCTACTGCTTTGTTTTAAATAAATGAAAATAAATAGCATTCTCATTTAAGGAAAAATTTACTGAATATCAATTAATCAATGACCAACGGTTTTTGAATAAAATATAACGTCCCGTTCGTTTACAACCACATATTTCTATGGTATAGCTATTTATACGTCTGCAAGATGTCTGTAAAAGATCTCTTCATCTGGAAAGCATCTGCTGTGTACAAACATCTGATAAACATCTTTAAGATATCAGTTTTGCACACATTCTGAATCGGCCCTCAAAATTATCGCAGTTTCCCAGTCATAGGCCTACAAACTTGAGCAGCAGTTCATGTCCATTTTGTGCATATTCATTTTGATAGCATGTGAAGGAAGCATAAATGGTGGCCTAGGACTAAAACCTACACTGTAAAAAAAATTACCGTGAATTTAACGGTAAAGGACTGTAAAAATGCTACAATAAAAACCTTTTAAATTGTTAACGGTAAATTCCCCTACTATATACGGTGAATAATTGTATTGGACATTACATGTAATTTTACGGTAGTATACCGTTTTTGGAAGTGAAAAAGACTGTATAATTTACAGTGAATAACCGTAAATTGACATTCCCAGAATTCCCTGCGTTACATTTCAAATTTGATGTTTTTTTGTTGAAATAACTATGTTCTTAGTTTTTTCTTATCAGTTTTGTATATTAGGGTTGTGTGTTACACCTAATGTTGTTTGCATTATTTCAGTTTCATGTGTGTTACCATGATGGTGTTTGGTGTTTGTGTGAATGACACTGTGCACCTTCTATGTATGTCTTTATTTAAAAGCTGCTTGTGATGGGCTTTGGTTCATCATGGGACTTTCTCATCACCACCTGCATTTGGTGGTTATCAGTGTATTACAAAGGTACAAAACAGATTTCAGTACTTCAATAGGTTAGTATATTAACATTATATCAGTTAATGAAATTACGGTATTTAACTGTAAATTTAAGTTAAAACCGTGAAAAAATTGAATGTTGCTACCATATTTTTTTACGGTAAAATTCCGGCAATCACAGCTGCCATTTTTTTACCGTAAATTTTACGGAATTTTTTTACGGTGTATTTAAACGAATAATTTTTCCACCTAGCAAGGAGAGGAACACATCGCTGAAATGCTGAGAACTGGGCTGGGTCTTCCTCACGCCCTCAGGGAGGCATTTTTGGGGGTCATTATTCACGAGAAGTGGTTTGGCTTAATCCTGGATTTATTTCGGTTTTGTACAGATAGAAACAGTCTACACAGGGCTTTATACACGCATCTCACATCTGCATTTAGACCACAAACAGACATGAGGGACAATCAAGGGAAATTAAAAGAAACAATAAAAAACAGCATCATCTCTGCCCCATCAAAACCTCAATAATACAAATCTGTGCACATCTCAACTGGGACAGTCGAGGACTTTTATGGTCAACAATGAAGTCACCAGCGCATCAAACGCAACTTCTGACCTGAGATCTGCCATCCCGGCTTTAAACCCTGCAACTTTTAATAGAATAAACAGAAGAAAAAAAACTGATCTCAGATCAGAAAAACTTTTTCAGGACCTTACGAGACCAACCCAGTGACTCCATTAACAAGACTTTTTTTAACATTCAACCAAGCAAAAGCTCTCAGAGCTGCCGCACTAAACATTCAATATCAACACTCTGCTGTGAAAAAGACTCAATTACATAGACTAAAAAAGCATAGCCTTTAGATTTCCATTCAAAGAACCAATAGCAATACTGTAAAATGCTCTGCAATGAAACTCATTACACAGCATCAAGAGTGTGAGATCAGCTCCTTCCTATAGGGAAAAAAACACTGATGTACAGAACACAGCAATATATATATTTAATCTTTATTATGAGTTATGGTTTGAGGTCCGGCTGCTAGCGTTTCCTGAGACAGAATACTAAAGGCTATTTGAATACAAGGGTGCAGAAGGTTTTTAATGCCCAAAATAGAGGACATGATGGCGGGTTTCCATTTACTCCCCGTTTTATGCTTCATAATATATCAAAACACTGTCACTTAGCTCTTTATAATAGATATATATGTATGCTATCATATATTTCTCTTACACTACTCTGGATTTGTTGTGCCTTGAAAATATTCAGACAGTATTATATAGGAAAAATACTGTACAAAAAGCAAATTATATAATAGATTTCATATATATATATAAACATTAAAACTCTGTTTTATCAATATATCTGTGTTCTGTATCTTTTGGTCTGCACTAAACAAACTGATTGGGTTTCAACCACAGTATTTGAGACAACACCGTCCTGCTCAACAAACGCCTCAAAACCTCTTAAAACACATTCATTACAGTCATACAGATGACAGACACGCCAAGCTACAAAACAAAAAGAAAGAAAACAAATCACTACAGATATCTGCTTGTACTGACTTAAAAACAAATGAAAATTCTAAAACATGCTCTGGGTGTGTATATATATATATAATAAAACTAAAAAAAGAGGATAGAATAATCATCTATCCTAAAAAAAAAGAAAAGAAAAAGACCCATTTACAATTAGCTTTAGGCTGCAACTCTAAAACAATAATCATGCTGAAATATCCAATAAAACAATAAACGATTAGGAAAAATTACTATACAGCCATAACAGTAAGAACAGCTATAACAATAGTAGTAATTAACAGCTGAATATTAAAAAAAAAGGGACAAAAGTCCATAAATATATCAGGCAGATTATAGTATAGGTAGAAACATTGCACCAGATCAGATTGTGAAACACGCATTAGTGCAGGGAGTTAGAGCGAGAGGGAGAGACAGACAAATATGGATTCAGCATTTTTGGAGGGACAGTTTCCGCACTACAGCAGAAATGATGGTGCTATGAAACTTTAGCTTACATGTCATATGTTTTGTCCACTGAGGAGATTCAGTTTTATTGCTCTATGGACAATGCAGGAAAGACGCAAAAAAAACTATGCTGGTGTCGGCTTAAAAGTAATGATGAAATAAAACAGACAAAGCACACAGAATAGGAAAAGAACAAAACAAACATCGTGTTCTGACGCTAGCTAGCGTTATACACACTTCACAGAACGAAAGGTGTCGGTGCGTTACAGCTATTCAACTAAAATACATTAATATACACAATAAGAAGCTCTAGCAACAAGAAGTGGGCGGGGCTTCTGAGAAGAGGGGGGTTGGGCCGAGCGGATGATTGACAGACAGGAAGGTGAGCGGCAAGGAATATATTTATCAGTCCGTGTTACAGGTGTATAAAACACTCGAGAGAGAAAAACATTTCCAGACAAACGATTCATCGTTGGTGAAAGAATACACAGACGAATGAAACAAATAAAAGGAAAGAGAGAGAAGTCAACGTGTGAAACTACATAAGAGGAAAAAGACATAAATGAAATACAAAATCAACTAAAGAACGCAAACTGGGTTTGTAAAGAGAAAAGAGAAATGTGAAAAAAGGGGAGGAGAATTTGCCGCAGAAGTCCCTGGAGGGGGGGGGTGTTTTGGTGGTGGGGGGCGGGGTTTGTGTGAGGTGGGAGGGGCTCACAGAGGGCTGTGTCGCGCCTCGTATTTGGCCAGAACGTTCTTACAGCGGCCGAGTTCCTTCCGCAGGTCGGCCACTTCCTGTCTGAGCGCCGCGTTCTCTTTCTCCAGGAATCCCGCGCGGATGGCGATCTGGTTCTCTTTCAGCCGGCGAGCATCACGGGAGCGTTTGGCCGCGAAGTTGTTCTTTCTGCGCCGTGACCAGTATCTGTCGTCCTGCGCGGAGATGGAGATGAGAAACTATTTATTCTCACTAAATTCTGTTCGGAATTTTCCCTGGGGCCAAAATTCCAATAAAAAATTCCATTCCGTTAAAATCTTTTAAAACAAAAAAGTACATTTCAAACAGTATAGGAATCATGTGTTGTTGTTTTTACATTTTGTGACATTTATGGACGGATGTACAATAACAATTGCCAACAGATAGTCACATGACTCAGGATTTTCTATGATCATATTTGCGCACAAATATTTTACTGATATTTTCTATCAGATTTTACTGATCTTTTATATCACTGTATTACATATTATATATGATATAATATTGACAGTTTTCAACCTATTAAAGTAGGTCATTGTGATTATGTTTTGGCTTAGTTGTTATGTTAGAATCATTATTATACTCATACCTTTTGTTCTTTTAATATGTTTGAATTGTTTTTAGCTTTATTTTCATTTAAATGTTTTAGTTTTGAAATGTTGTTGTATGCATTTGTCATTTTTATTTTGTTTATTTTATTTTATTTTCTTAAATGTGTGTATATATATATAGTATTTATAGAGTTTTAGCTTTTAGTTTTAATTACTTTTCCTTATTTGTAAGTCGCTTTGGATAAAAGCGTCTGCTAAATGACTAAAAGTAAAGTAAAGTAAAAGTTTTAGTTTTGTTCAATAATTGTGAACATTTATAATATAGCATTTACTAAAAGTAAAGCAAGTACTTTTACAAAAGAAATATAGAAAACAAATCATGTAAATATACGTATAGTGTATAATAAATGTCAATTTATAAAATTAAGGAAATTAAATATAATAATCAAAAATATATAATAATCATTATTATAATAATAATAATAATAATAATCATCATAATAATAGTAAAAAACAATTATACGGGGTTTATTAAATAATAATAATTCATATTTGTGCAACATTAAATAATAATAGAAAAAGAAAAACTGCATAGTAAATAATAATAATAATGATAGAAAAATAGAAACCGAATACAACAACAATAATAGAAAAATTATAGAAAAAATAAAACAATAGTAAAAAATTAAAGTGTTTCTAAAATTATAACAACATAATATTATTATTATTATTATTATTATTATTATTATTTTGTTACACAAATATTTGGAGAGACATAATAACAATAATAATAATAATGTGAAAATACTGTTGTTGTTGTTATTATTATTATTATTATACAAAAAAAAAGCCAAAGGCACTTAAGCATGTTTTAAGCAAGCTTTACTGTAAAACACAAACTGCGATCTTAGTTCAAAGGCCCTGAATCTGCTTTGCGTGAGCTGGTCGTCTCTCTGTGCTTCATGCTTCAGTGTTTGTCTTTACCTTCAAGTCGTCTGGAATGAAGACCTTGCGCGCCTTCTTGATCATGGGCTGCGGCTTCAGCTCCTCTGCTGAGAATTTGCGCTTGCGTGGGTCGAAGATTTCCTGTCCCGGGACACTGGAGAGGGCGAGGTCGGCTGGGTCGGGCTCGTACCCGATCGGAACCTGGATGGACTCCGGATCTATTGGACTGGGCGTATCACGTGAAGGGAGAACTGCAGGAGAACGAAAGAGAAAATCAATCAGGATTTCAAAAACTTCGAAGGTGTAATGATAATACTGACTTCTCTTCACCATTTCAAGCATCTCATGCTCATTAGACAAAACACAACCCTACTAAGAATACACTCGATTAGATTATTACAGAAAATACTAATCATTTCTAAATATTAAGATTTATCTACAGCATGTTTAATAATAAATATAATATTATTATTTATATAAAGTAATAATGTTTATCTTCATTATTATTAAAATAGAAAGGAAACTTGCTCAGCTAAAAAGTTGGAAAAAGGAGACTCGTTTCGGTAGCACTTTATAATTTAATTAAAATATTAACATCAGCATATTATATAATGCTCATTAGACCAGAGCATTTTATTTTAAAATGTAAACAGGATCATGTCATGTTGATTTTGTGTGTTAATGAGCACTAGAGGGAAGATGAACCCACCTCATACAAACAAATATTTGCACATTTACATCCACATATAACAATATTACTGAATAATAATCATTAAAAAATGTACTATAAAATAGTTATTTATATATCTATCACGTATATCTATATATCTATATCTAAAATAAATAATACTAATAGTAATCATATAAATAATTATTACATTATTGTTTTATAATTATTTGTATTAATATATATAATACAATAATGTAAGTAACTAAGCTTATTGCCTTAAAAGCACACTGCACACTGATGCAATAAAGGCGACTGTGTGACTGATCTACTAAAGACGTCAAACACAAGAGCAAGCGAGTGTGTGTGTGTGTGCATTAGTGAGGGATTAGAAGATCAAATTAAACTCTTGACTGATTTAAGGGTCATTAAACAGGAGCTGAGAGCCGCACAACAGCCCCAGGAGCTGGCAAACGTCCACACACATAATCCTACTGAAACACACAATAACACAGCTGTAACTGCACTCGATGCTGACACTCTGAATCACACAACCGGAACATACCACTAAACTCACAACAAGCTGCTTCTCCTTCATGAGCTGTGTACAGAAACACACAGCAGGGGTCAAAGGTCACAGCTGTAAGCTATGGGAGATTCTGTCATGACCCAGATCGCTGCTAAAGCCTGACCAAACTCTGTGTGTGTGTGTGTTTATAGTCCTGTATAACAGCTCTGACCTCCACACAGCACTGACTGAATAAACCTCATATGAGTCTCTATCAGCCTGTTCATCTCCGTCTCTCTCTCTCACAGAGAGCCTGATTTTGCCTTGAGGGGCAGAGGTGAGGGGTGGAGGTCTACTGACCAATCACAGGCCTCTGTCCGGAGCGGTGGGCGGAGTCTGAGCGCTGACACAGTGAAAGCATGTGAGAGTGGAAGTGTTGGGTGGCAGAGCGTTCAGGGGTGTGATCGTGACCGTCCCATGAACCCTGGCCTTCACTTCCTCACACACACACACACACACACACACACACACACACACA